CTTAGAAAAGGAAATCTTTTCTTTTTTTTTTTTCTTAAATTCTTTTACTGGTATGTTCAAGTATACAATACATTTACTTTCATCATTGGGAACTGTACCTTTACATGATGTATCTGGGTCCTATTTAGAAAAGGATATCTCAACAAGCCCCATGCTAGAGCCCTGGAAATTTGCTTGAGGAAGAAGGACTTTGAAACTTACTAGGTTTTTCCTATTTTATGGCTTGCAGATGTCTTACTAGTAAGTCTAGAGTAGTTGCATATTCTTGCTCACTAGGTCTAAACACAGTGTCATCAACGTAATGAGCCAGTGTGATATCTTTTAACTAAATTATGACATGGGGCTGGAGAGTTCATGTGCCCTGAAGTAAGACAGTAAGGTGCTGCTGGCTTTGCCTGGTAAAAATAATCTAATTTAAGTGGGACTTATTGGCAGGGATAAGAAAAGACATTTGCCAAGACATTAGCTATGTATCAGATATCATAGGAAGTGTAAATTTGTCCAGGCGATGATACTTCATCCGGTAGCTTTTGATAATCTGTTATTCTCCAAGATCCATTGATCACCCTTACATAAACCCCTTCTCTGGTGAACTACAGTGATGTTTTGGATCTCTTGGAGTTAGTGCTAGCCATTGTGCAGTACTTTTCAGAATGTTTGATTATTTCCTTTTGCCCAGGGCACCATTATCCAGGTAAAGACTATAGACCCCTTCTGAGAAGGCCATGAGAAAGAGTAATGCATTTCTACTTATTTCATTTATAGGCACATCATAATCAACTAGGGAATTCCAGAGGTTAGTCAACTATTCTGACTATTCTGACGACTATTGCTGTGCCGTCCATAATGGTACCATGCCTCCCCACATTTTCCTGGATTTGGCAGAGTTTACCACTTGGCTTCTGCCACCCTAGGATCCTATTACTCCCATTGTATTTAGGTTTCCCAACTCTTGGGCTGCAGTTCTCACAGTAAGGTCTGAAATACAGAAAAGAACAATCACAGAGCTCTTTAAGGATCCTGGGGATCCTCTCTCACAATATTGGTGACAGGAATTTCTTCTGGAACCTCCCAGAGTAGGTAAGTATGTCTTAAATGACAGATCTAATCTAATATTCCAATCTCCCTGAGCCTTTGAAACCATTCCTTTCCATTAAACCAAAGCAGGCAGAGTACTTGGGGCTCACTCACTGTGGGCTACTTTTTGGTCCATTTTTCAGCCAACTGAACAAACTAGTCCCTTTCTGACTCCCGGAGTTGCAGCATTAAGTACAGAAGTTCTGCTTAATGAGGCTGCTTCAAATTCAGCCTGATCTAACTGTATTCTCTTTCTTCCACACCCTTAATCTTTATTCCTACACATGTTCTCTGGATTTCTATCTGTATACATTAGAAAACTTAGTAGTGCTTTTGGAGTGCAGCTCCCGTCCTCGGGTATATTTTGTACCTCTTTTTTTGGGAGAGTCTGCTAGGATTTGAGTCTAGTTATAGGTCTCAAAGCAAAGTTCCCGAGAGTTGTCATTGTCTCATATGGCGCCTGCCTCAGCAGAGGTCATTCCAGCCTCCTTAGGCATAGGAGCGTTACTCCTCAGTGGGGGATAGGGAGAGCTCTGCCACCGGCAGCAAAGACTCATCAGAATTTATTAACTCCATGTCATTAGCTTCATCAGGGTCTTCTCACATGATCTCATCCTGGTTTCCAGGATCCCATTCTTTCCCACTATCACTTTAGCAGTAAGAATTCAACTTGCATTCTCTTCAGCTAGTTGCAGGATGAAATTCTGCATGATTGTCAGCTATCTGAGCTGTGTGGTTATAGGCAATAAAGGCTTTCAGAACATACAAAGAAGACTTCATTCAGGTCCAGGTCATTTATATTGCACTTGAGCTGGAATTTAAATCCCTAAGCTTTCCTCTCACCACTTTGTCTAGTGACATTAGCCAACTGTGTATTCATTAGCTTGCAAAAAATGTTGGACTGTATCATATACAGTCATCCAGCTCCTTGCTTTTTGTAAGCAGTTATGAGTACCCAATGCCAATATTTTGCATATTTTTACTGCCACATCACACATAGGCTATCAGTACATTACTTACTACTAGAAATGGAGTCATTAGCATCTCTAAATTGGAACACGTTAGAGAGTCAATTCTAGAAAACTTGACTTACTCTTCCAATAACCACTCCCGGACTCAAATCTGTGTCGGTCATTGTTCTACAGAGAACAAGAATCAATAAGAGACATGAGATTTGTTATAAGGTGTTGGCTCAGGTGGTTAGGAAAGCTGAGCACTCCCACAATCTTCTGTCTGCAAACTGGAGACCAGAAGAACCAGTGGTATAGTTCAAAGGCTCGAGAGCTAGCATATAATTCTAGTGTGAGTCCAAAAGCCTGACAGTAAGCGTTGCCAAAAGCAGAAGATTGATCTCCCACTCCAGTTGTCAGACAGAGGGTAAATCCTACTTTACACCACCTTTTTCAAAGCTTAGATGATGTCCTCTCTCAGTGGGGAAGGAAACCTGCTTTACTTAATCCAGATTCAAATGCTGTTTTTCAGAATCACCCTCACATATATATCTAGAAAAAGTGTTTATGAACTGCCTCGGCATCCAATAGCTTAACTAAGCAAATAAACAAATGTTTCCATAGAGGACCCCACCCTTATGATCTCATTTGACCTTAATTACCTCCCTAATTACCTAACGTGCTGTGGGGTAGGGCATCAATATATGATTTTGAGTGGATATATTCAGGTTGTGAAGGAGAAAGGGGAAGAGGTAAAAGGTTCAAGGAGAGGTAAAGGTTTGGAAGGTCTCCTGAGAGAATGAGAAAAGATGACTGAGGAATAAATCTCATAGACCTGCAAGAAATAAGATGTAGAAATAAGACAAAGTATGTACTTGTTACACAGCAAGGATTTATAGAGCCAGAACCTAGGCATTAGATCCAGGTGACATGGCTCATAGGCCCTAACTGCAAGCATAAATTAGCATTAAAGGCAGCTCGCTTTGGGCTTTGAACTTTGCTGATCTGAGGAATTTCGATTGTACAGAATGATGAAAACACCCGGCTTGGTCATGTCTTCCAAGAAAAAAGTCCCAGTGAGCTATGTTCCCTGGCTGGAACCATTATGAATCCTTGATTACTTGCATATGCTTTGTATTGGTTACCAGGTGAAGGGTGGTAAACAAGGAAAAAGTTTCCTTAGCTCCAGTGTGTCCACGTTCCCACCAGTCTTCGAACACAGCCTGCCCTTTTCTGGAAGGGTGCGCAGGGTGAAGAAGAATGATCTCTAGTGTAAGAAGAAGCAGGGAAAGGCCAAGGCAAACTTGAGAAACTGAATGACTGGAGAGGTATAATCCAGCTTGTTGCTTGCCAAAGTTACTGAGCTGCTGGCCCAGTGGAATCTGGGATTATTCTGGGACAGGGGAGGGCGTCACCTGGCGAATGAGAGAGGAGAAGTGGGACAAAGGTCATGCTGCGTCTTCAGCACTCCCATACTAGGAGTACAAGACTACTTAGTAATTTGGAATAAATATCAGAGGAGGTGAAAGCTTCCAAGGATGTAGCAAGCTCTAGCAGGGAATGGGGTGCTGAGGTAGAAGGACACTTTATGATTACTTGGGCAAAGAGGACTCACCTGGTGCTGTGAATTTTGATGACTGTTCTTGGGGAACAGAGAACTAAAGGGCTAACCAGATAGACAACGTCTCCTGTGGACAGCAATCTAGAAATACATCTCGTATGAGCAGGAGGGAACTGAAAAATGAATCTGGTGGCTTTATCTAGCATCAGCAGAGACATGGCAATGTATTGAAGAAATACAGAGAAAAGCAATTTACCTCTCTCATAGTTGTCCAATCCTGTGCCTCCACAACCCAGGCTTCGAAGACTGGCTGGATGAGTCCACCAACCCAAACAGTCTTAGAGTCAGCTGCATCGGAAAACGGGAGCTCATACCTTGTGGTGTTAGTAAAGTGGCTGGATTAGAAAATGTGCTCCAAGGACTCCCTCAGAAAGTTAAGTGACAGTTGGGTGACCCCTGTCACTTTCTCAAAGGGTCTCCTGATTGGCAAAAAGTCTAAAAAATATCACATAAAAGCTGAGAGTTCAGGGGAAGCCCAACTCAGGTCCTAGTTATTGTGATTTTGGGAAATCAGTCAGACTGCATCATGGAGTTGGACCTATAAGAAAATAGCAGGAGAGGGCTGGGGATTTAGCTCAGTGGCGCGACACCTGCCTCACAAGTGCAAGTTCTGGAGTTTGATCCCCGGTACCCCCGCCCCCCGCAAAAAAAAGAGGGAGAGAGAGTGGGGTGGGGGACAGCAGGAGGCATGAAAGTTTCTTCAGTCCTGTAAGACCTACATCACAATGGTAGACATGATGAACTGGACACTTCTCAGTTTACCCCAACTATCCTGTTAGCTTAACACCTGTCATTATCCATATCCCGGGGAGAGTGGAGAATTCACAGCCCTCATCAAGCTAAAGGCAAGGGTTGTGTGCTCGTGGGCAGGGTGTGTGTGTGTGTGTGTGTGTGTGTGTGTGTTGCACGAGACAGCCCTCCCTCACGTTCATGAGTTTCTCAGGCTGAACTTGGGACCTCTTATGGCAGGATCAGATAGTGTTGTCCCACACTGGTCTGTGTTTTCAAAAGCCTTTGAGGAAAAAAAAAAAAAATCAGGCACAACAGTTCATGCAAAAGTTTCAAGTTCTCCCGCAATATGGAGGGACCAAAAGACCTGGGAAATGAGACCAATTTTCATTCTGAAAATGATCTTTTTGGGGAGTACATGGATAATGAGATTTAACTTCCAAAACTGGGTAAGCTGTCTTGGGCAACTTCCTGCTATGAATAACTGGAAAATATTTTTAAAAAATCTATTTGAAGGAATTGAAAAGCTACTAAGTATGCTGGGGATTTAGCTCAGTGGTTCCACTAAGGTCCTGAGTTCGATCCCCGGTACCAAAAATAACCAACAACAACAAAAAAGAAAAGCTACTAAGGAAGTAAAAACTCTGTGACAGACATCTGGAAGAAGAAAGAAGCCAAGAAAGATGAACCTAATATTCAAGGTCATGTTTTCTTTCAGGCACTGTCAGTTCTGAAAGTGAAAGTAGAAATTGGCAAACTCAGACGACCCTTGGGAAATTTCAAGAGTGGAAAGACAAGCGAGAGTTGTCCAGAGACAGCAGGATTTGGTAACCCCCAGACATATGGTTAGGACCCTGAAAATGACTATAGAGAGGTGTAAGCATAAGAATGAGTTAGAAATAAAAAACTCACAGGACTAAAACTCAATTCTAAATTAGTTCAGTCCCTGATGGGATTAAGGCAGTCATCCCTAGCCTAACTGCTTGCCAGAACCAGAAATAAATGCTTTCTGGGAAAACTTATCACCGATCAGTGAGCTCTAAGTAAAATTCTGCTTTACTCATAAAAACATTTCAAATTTGAAACAGTGAGATGTAATTTATCTTCAGTAAAGCTGACAGATGAAGAAAGTAACACAAAATCTAATGACACTGACATAAATTTTCTTATACTATACTTGATATGATTGTCCTTGGTGTCTGCTGAGACTTCTCAGCTTGATCTTGCTGCCTGTCTTGGACATGTCTCCACACACCTTCCCAGATATGGAAGACGGAACCAGGAGGGACATACCTGTCCAAAGGGAAACCGGTATGTATGCTTCCTGATGTATGATGGTTTGACTTAGGATTTTCTGACTTTACAACAGGGCAAAAAGAATAGGCATTCAGTAGAAACCACGTTTCAGGTTTTGAATGTTGATCCTTTCCTTAGCTAGCAACACATGGTACAGTATTCTTACAATGCTGGGCAGCAGCGGTGAGTGGTGGCTTCCAGTTAGCTATGTAAACACAAGGTAAATGACCAGTACTCTGTTGTTTGGCAGGTTAGGTGTATTAAGTGCAGTTTTTACTTGCTATATTTTCAATTTATAATTAGTTGAGGAGCATCTGTATGCAGGTTTAGCTGAAACTTTTATAATTCTCAGGAATTTGAATAAAGATACAGTCACTTGGTCAGGTAGTGGTTGGTGGGTGCAAGATCTATAATGTCCTGAAGCTTTGGGATAGATTAACATTTCATCTGGTTTATATGTCAGTAAGTCAGAAGTAAAGTCTGATTGGCCAGAAGCACTGGTATGAGATATGGCAGTTTCCTGAAAGATTGACAGGCCAGCAAATTCCTTGTCCAGGGCTCATTTTGCCAGTGGTTGTTGCCATAATTTTTATATCAGTTTTTTAAAAAATCTATAAGAATATTAAATCTTTGGAATAAACCACTTATTAAAACAGTATCTTCCAACAGTCTCAGTATATCTACATTTTCTTCTATCTATACAGTATTAGCACTCAATGAAAAATAACCAGGCCTATGAAAAGGAAAAGAACTACCAGGGGGAAAATCAATAGAAAAAAAGTCCAACAGGGTATTCAAATATTAAGATTTGATATGGAATTCAAATTACTATTAATATATAAAATAATTTATATATGAAAGGATTTCAAAGGCGAACTGAAAACTCAAATCAAAGTAAACTTCTAAAACTGAAAAAAGTAACAAATGAAATTTAAAAAAACAGTGAATTGGATTTAATAGATTAGACATAACAGAAAATAAGTAGAAAATAGGTCAGAATAAAATCTACTCTGACGTACAGAGAGACCAAATAATTCAAAAATATAGAGAAGAGTCACAAAATTTATGGCAGAGCATAATGCATAATTGGGGTCCTGTGGAAGAAAAGAGAGAAAGCGGCTAAAGCGATGTTTAAAGAGGTAATGTTCTAAGAATTTTCCAAAACTGATAAAAGTCAGCAAGTCTCTTAATGTTGGGTATTGGTCACTCAGCTATATTCTGTAAAAATGTATTCACTGTATAAATATGTGTGCATTTTTCTATCTGCTTTCTAAGAAGTCAACAACAGCAAAAAGTTTCCTACAAAACCAAATAAAGCAAAAAAACTTCGAGACCAGATGGTCTTACCAATGAATTCTTCCAAACCTTTAAGGAGTAGATAACACTAATATTTGGAATTTTTTTTTTACAATGTCAATGTAACCTAAGAGTTTCACATGAAAGAATAGTGTGGGCTAATCTCTTCTTTGAACATAGATGCAAAAAATCTTAAGCAAAATAACATCAAATCAAATTGAGCAAAAATATAAAGATCACACTGGGTTTTTTCCAGGAGTGAAAAATTGACTTAACTTTTTAGAAAGTAAAAGAAGTAATTGTACAAACTGAAGGAAATTTTATTTTCATAGAAAAAAGATCTCATATGATGAAGTATTTAGTCATTTGAGAAGAGTTAGCTCAGTGGCACCTGCCTCACAAGCACAAGGTCCTGTGTTCAATCCCCGGTACTGCAAAAAAAAAAAAAAAAAAAAAAAAAAAAAAAAAGAAAGAAAGAGAAAGAAAAATGTGAATGGCAACCTGAGCAAGGCATTTGGACTATAATCCTGAAGTGGCTAAAATTAAAAATGAAATGACTGGCAATACCTAGTTTTGAGGAGGACACGGAGCACCTGGAATGCTCACACATGGCTGGCACGAGTGTACATTGGTACAAATACTATGGAGACTACTTGGCATTATGTACCATATTTGCACAAACACGTGTCCTGTGAGTTGTCATTTACCCCCCAGTTACACCTCGGTAATGCTTACATACGTGCTCCAAATGACACTGAGATAAATGTTCAGAGCAAACCCCCCTTATGTGCAACAGCATAAACGCTTCTCACAATTCTAATATCAAGTGAAAGAAACCAGACATACTTCTTCCTCTGCAATTACAGAAGATTTGAAAGCAGGAAAACTACTTAAGTGTTAGAAGTCAGGGCAGGGGTTTTCTTGGAGGAAAGGTGTAGGTGTTTGGGTGAGGACAGAGTACAGGTGGAGAGTGGATTTCTAAGGTTTGGGTAGGGATTGTTTGCTCTAGGGTGGTGATCACTTTGTGCTATCTCACAGGCCTGGACACCTAATATTTTGGCCCAATGGCATATGGAATTGTAAGTTCTCAAATCTTTGAACAACTATATAAATACTATTCTTACTTATTCTGTAAGGCAGCAATAATTTATCTTGTAACTATATAATCCCAGCACAGCCCAAGAATCAGGCCAGTGGGCCCAAGGAAGAGCTGTAGATGAGATGTGTGAAGCATCCAGTTGGACCCAGGCTGTCACATGGAACTGCAGAGCAGTCAGGGGTTTCAAAGACCAGGGGAGGACAATTTTGAAAAATCCTGCAATAACTTAATTGAGCCCTCACTGTAACACTGTGAGGTGGATATTAAGGTATTAGTCTCCCCTCCCATAGAAGAGTGGGCCCTGTCTTCACTACATAGATGGAAAAAAAAAATCATAGGCACAGTCTGGTAAAGCAATTACCCTGAGGTCACTCAGATAATAGGCAAGATTTGCACAGATAAACGCTACAACGTGCACACTCCAATTCTATTCCCACAACTCGTCTAGGCTAATTCGCACTATTACAAATTGCTCTTGCATACACGATCAGTAATAGTATAGGATATAATTCATTATGCACTGGAAGAATTTCTTTCTGCCCAAAGAAACTACTATTTTTTTTCCTCTGCTGTGGTTAGAAAGTCATATGTGTGGAAAGCCTCTGCTCTGGCAGCTTTGCAACAGAAAGCCCTACCTCCAGTCTAGTGGGCAGGGCTTGGAATCTGGGGAGGCTGCTGGCCCTGGAGAAGCTTCTGGCTTCTGAATGGCATTGTCTGTGACAGTGAGCAACTGTCTGCTCATGGAAGTGGTGGGAACCTGTGTTAGTCAGCTTTCTATTGCTACAAAAATATCTGAGGTATTCAACTTTTAAAAAGAAGAAGAAGGGAAAAAATGGTCTGTTTTAGCTCACTGTTTCAGAAGATTCAGTCCCATAATCTACCACTTTGGAGCCTGTGGTGAGGCAACAGATCATGGTGGGGAATATATGGTAGGAGTTGTTCACCTCATAAGAGCCTGGAAAAAAAAGAATGAGAGGAAGGGGTTGGGGTCCCCATATCCCCTTTAAGCACACCCTAAGGACGTTCCCCTAGGCCTCACCTCTTAAAGGTTCTACCACCTTCAACAGTGCCATACTGGGGACCAGGCCTTTAACACATGGGCCTTTAAGGGACATTTCAGCCAATTGATAACAGAGCCCTCTCTTTGCAAAGTGACCTTCTATTTAAGACTCTGTCCTGTTTCAATCCTGAATTCCCTGAGAAGCAGGGAGATTATAAATTCCATGTAGAATATCTGACTTTTCTCACTGGAACTTTGTTTAACTTTTTTTTTTTTTCTTGGTCATTGCATCTTGCTTTTTAGTTGATCTGTTTATTTGAAGATACATGAAATTAAATAATTTTAAGCTTTTGTTTTCTTTCATGAGTGACTTGGCCAGGATGGGAACTAGTGGCCCAAATTTTGATGGTTTTATCCCTCAGAGGCATTAAGAACATTCTACATTTCCAAAGTTTCACATTTCTACATTTCTACGTAAGTAAAAGCTATTTCCTTTTTCAGATTAAGTTCTAAACCACTAATTGGAATATATTCAAGGAATTTGCTAATAGCTAAAATATTAACAGTTCAGATCATTTTGTCTCATTTCTTTCAGTGAGTGCTTGATTAAAGAAAGTGCTAAAACGGAAGAAAAATGGAATCTGGCTCACATCGTTCAGGGTGCCGTGCTGTCTGGGAACTCTCTGGTTGCAGCTTAGGTAACAGTTGGGTGTCAGCAGATGGCAAAGTATTTGTTTGCTGGAATGAAGCTTGAAAGAGGCCAACATGAATTCTAATCAAGACTGCAGTGTTGCTGCTTGCTCCACAGGGATTTCAACATGTAGACCTGCTACTTAGGCTCACCTTTTGAGGTTTAATTATGTAAGTAGTAATTTTAAGGATACTCTAAGATGCTAATTTGGTACCACAAACAACTCCAAATGTTTAAGTCATCAAATAGACAAAGAAGACACAGATATGCCAACTTAACCAGGAGCCAGCATTTCCTTGCCTTATAATTTCTGTTTGTTGAAGAGGAGCTGATTCAATCTCTCAGGGGCACACATTTGAGTTCTTTTGTTCTGATGCTGGATCCCCAGATTGCACCAGCAATCAACAATGCATGACTGAGATCCTTTGCTTATTACTGATGCCTTAGTGAAAATAAGATTTTAGTGATAAATTCGATGTTGTTACTGCTTCATAACTTTAAAATCACTTTCCAAAGTTTTTACTTACTTTTGTTATTCAACCACAAAGAAAAAAGAAATTATGGCATTTCAGGAAAGTGGAGGGAACTGGAGATGATTACGTTGAGTGATATAAGCCAGACTTAGACAAGGATCAGTTACTGCATGTTTTCTGTAATATGTGGACTCTAAAATAAAAAGAAAGAAACCAAAGGTGACCTAAACATACAAAGGAGACTATTATTAGACAAGAACAAGGAACTAAGAGGGAAGGAGGGAAAGAAAGGGTGACAGGGGATGAATGTAGTCGAAATACATGCAGGTATGAAAAATGCCACAATGAAACCCAGTATTTTGTAAAATTAATATAGACTAACAAAAACATATTAAAAATAAAGTTTCTACTCATTTGTATTGATTATACAGATGAATGCACTTCGTTTTGGCAGATTCATACATACACTGAACATATTCTGAGCATTTTAAACCTGCCTTTAACTCCCTTGCCCTCCCCTTTCCCTTAGTCTCCCATTTTTGGGAGTGGGTTTCAATGCATAAATATATTTTGCTCACACCCATTCCCATTCCCCCATCACCTGCCCGTACACCCTCCTCCCTCTTATTCCATTCTTTTCGTCTAGTAATAGTCTCCCTTCTATTTCTTATCATCATTTTAGATTCTACATATTAGGGAGAACATGAGATATGTGTCTTTCTATTTTTTTTGATATGTCTTTTAAATCTGGCTTGTTTTGTTCAGCACCATGGTTGTCATCACCTTGCAAATGACAGAATTTTGTTTTTCCTTGTGGCCAAAGAATACTCCATTATTATTACATTCACGCTACATTTTCCTTATCATCTATTCATCTGCTGATGGGCACCTAGGCTGGTTTCCTATCTTGGCTATTGTGAGTAGTGCTGCAATAACCATGGGTGTGCAGGAACCTCTATAGTCTGCTCATTCTAATGGCTTCGGGACTGGTACAGCTGGATCAAATTGTAGCTCTACTTTTAGTTTCTTCCAAGGAACCTCTATACTGATTTCCATAGTGGTTGTACTAATTTATATTCCCTCTAACAGCACACAAGTCTTCCTTCCACACACACATACACACCTTCTCACCAGCGTTTCTTGTGTTTTTTGTTCTTGATGACAGCCATTCTGAGTAGGGTGAGATGGAATGAGGTTTGATTTGCATTTACTGGATGGCTAAAGGTGTTGAGTGACTTTTTCTTCATACACTTATTGGCCATTTGTACTTCTCTTGAAAAGTATCATTTCAATTCATCTGCTCATTTATTGATTGGGCTCTTTGATTTTTTTTCTTAAGATTTTCGAGTTCTTTATATAGTCTAAATATTAATCCTCTGTCCAAAAGTAACTGGTAAAGATTTTCTCCCATTCTTTGGGCTGTGTTTTCACTCTGTCATTTTCCTTGCTGTGCAGAACTATTTTAAAATTTAATGTATTTTCACTTGTTGATTCTTGTTATTATTTTCTGTGCTATTGGACACCAATTGAAGACATCTTTGCTTTTGCCTATGGTTTCAAGTGTTTCCTTTGTTTTAGCAGTTTCAAAATTTCTGATCTTAGGTCTTTGATACGTTTTGAATCAATTTTTATACAGAGTGAGTGATGGGAATCTAGTTTCAGTCTTCTACAAGTGCCTATCCAGTTTTCCTAATGCCATTTGCGAAGAGCCTTTTTACCAATGCCTAAGTTTTACTTCTTTGCCCAGAATAAAATCTTTTTAACAAAATAATATGAATGTGTTAAATGAACTGTAGAATTCTAAAAGGCTTTGAATGAGAACCAGTAGACATCTGCTCCCTTTGCCGCCAGCCTGGTTGGGCCCTTATCATATGTTTAACACCCAAGATCTTTGTCTTGGTGTCTAATGATTAGTTCTCTAGTTTATCACTAATGATTTTCTTGCATCCTTTGACTCTGTTGGTTTATTGCAGTCTTACTCTTCAATGTTTGGGGCCTTATTCAAATGAGTAATGAGCTGCCAGAAAGAAAATCTGCAAATTCGCAGTTGTTCAGTGAGACACAGTTTCAGGGCAAACACTTAGCTTGAAATCCAAGAAAAGAGAGGCACTTCCAAGGAAGAACAGGCCTTACCCACTCCGCTATCCAGGACAGATGTTCCTGGGTGCCATACAACTTGTTAAGGAGAATTCGACTAAAATGTTTAATGACATGCTAAGGACTGAGTGTGAGCTAGCATAATAGTATAGAAAGCTAGGAAAACTACAGAATTTGCACCCTGGAACTCACCAAGCCTCACAAGACTGCCTTGGGCAGGGTGAGGATGGTTTACCTCCGTCCCAGGTTCCTTCTTCTGATGCAAGCCTCATCTCTGAAGGAAGATGTCGCCTCATCATCCCTCAGGCTGCCCCCTGAAAACACGACCCTGAGCGGTGGCCTGGGACAGGGGTGGGAGCCTTGCCTTCTTGGCACACCCAGGAAGGACTTGCAGGACCAGCATGGCCTCTGCCTCTCCCAACAAAGCCCAGCACCAGCCTGTGAGGACTTGTCTCAGAGTGTTCCTTCTGTTGCATGGAGAAGCTTCCTTCCCTGCCCAGGAAGGCCAGGCCCCAGGCTTGCTATTGAGGAGCCCAGGGTGTGAGACAATGGGAGTGAAGTTCAGGAGGCTGGCCCTGTGTTCTCAAGGGCTCATGGGGGCTGAGAAGGGAGAAGCAGTGTGGAGGAGTGAGATGAGCTTCAGCGTGGAGCTGGGGCCTTGGGGTGGAGGAGGCCGGAGAGATGCTGAGCCCCAGTGAGGACTCTGGGATTGTGCCTGGCTCAAGGGCCCCCTGCACCCAGCCTGAACCGGCACAGCCAGGCACAGCCGAGGAGACTCAGCAATGCACCAGGGAGGGCAACGCAGGGAAGTGAGCTGTTCTTTGCTCCATGGTGGTGGTGTTGCGTAGGGGTGGGGGCACATGACAGGGAAGAACTGGCCTCATTTATTTGTTTCCCCAGATTCCTTTGGCCACAAGCCTCTGGGGCCCTTTTAATCTCTGCTGCAAGTTCACAGCACACCACTGTCTGTATGCCTTAGTTTCTTCATCGGTGCAACAGTGATAAGAACAGCTCCTACCACAGTCTTACTTTACTTCTGTGCCTCAGTTTCTCCATCTGTTAAATGGAGATGTTATCAACTTCAAATGATTGTTATAAAGATTAAGTGATTTAATTCAGCAGTATAGCAAGACCCTGGCTCAAAAAAAAAAAAAAAAAAAAAAAAAAAAAAAAAAAAAAAAAGAAGGGTTTGGCGATATACCTCAGTGTGAAGGACCTGGGTTAAATCCAAGTAGTGGGAAAAAAAACAAAACAGATAATGATTTGACATATGTAAAATACCTCAATGTGTCTGGTAGTAATAAGCACCGTGCAGATGCATGTTGTTATTGGTGTTCTATTTCCAAGTTAGTTTTGCTTAGTCACAGTTTCAGCCTGAAGCATATCACTTAGGAAATAAAAAACATTTAAGAGTCACAGAATTGCAGCCTTTTAGAGTTGGAAGGGATTTTAAAAATCAATTGAGTCTAACACTTGCATTGCAAATGACAAAAATAAACTCAGAGTAGTGTATTCAAGGTCAGCCCGCCCTGTGTGCAGAGCTGGACTAGAATCCTGTCCCAGGCTCTTTCCAATGTGCCACACACTCTCTGCACATCAAATCACGCACCAAGTGCCAGTGGCCCCAGTCAAGCCAGGGTTTTCACTGCAAGGCTGGGTACAGCAGGCCACATGTAGGTGTATAGAAGGACCAGTTTCTACCCACCATCACCACCAACTCACTGTGTTTGGCTAGAAAAATCTTTAATTCCACAGCCTTAAGAGGTCTTACATGTATCTCTCTGTGCTCCGCCCTACACTGTTTTAGATGGAATTCTATGAGTGACAGGAAAACTTCTTGCAGCTCTTCCCACAGGACTCTGTTAGGACTCCCTGTGAGTCCCTAGGACTCTTCCTGCCTCTGACCCAGGAAGTCTTAGTCACTTTCAACTGAGGTCAAAGACCATTTTCTTTTGGCAGCTGGATATTCCTTAGTCATTGATCTTTGAACTGTTCTTTTTCAGACCGCTGAGCTGAGGAAAATGAAAAGTATTTGTTTTTTAGAGTATGTCCTATGAAAAGAAAACGCCCTCTCTCATTCATCCCTTCCCTTCCTTTGCTACAGCCAGCACTGCAAGGGACATCCTTTTTACACCCTGGGTGTTTAATATAAATGTGCTTTACCGGGCTGATTGAGAGGATGGTTTGGGGATGAGATCTAGGTTGGAGCAGTGGCTCTGCTAGTAATGCACAGGGAAATGCTTTTGCGGAACTTGCTTGCATCATCTAAGCAGACAGGAAGTGGAAATGGCTCTAAGCAGTAACCCAGGAGCAAACTGTCTGTACCTCTTTCCAACTCTGTGTTCATCATTGCTGGGTTAGAAGCTTGAAATTAGTCAAGGTGATTGTCATAACTCTCATTCATATGAATGCCATCCTTGGTATCTGTCTTCTTAGCCCGCCCCTAGCTTTTCACTCCTGGCCAGCAGGCTTGAGAAAATCTCCATTCAGTTCTCATGCTGTCGACAGTAAGGCTCTGCACTGATATGTCTGACCCCTTTACTTCTGCCGTAAGCCTAGTGAAGCCAATAATGTAACTCCTAAGCTCTCAAGCTTAGCCT